CCTTGATGTTCAGGTGGATAAGCAGCTGACATTGTCAGGGTCCCAGGGGACTACGTTTCCCAGGGTGTGGCAAAAGGAATTCTCTTCCTGCCTTCCCCCCTTTTGACTGGCTGCCCGGCTCTCCTCTTGCCTGGGAAGCTGGTATCTCTATCCTGTAGCCATGGCTGCAGCGCACCAAATAGCACCATCCTAAGCAGAGTAACAACCTCCTAAACCCATCGGGGTGGTGGTGGTGGTGTCTATCCCTCAAGGAGCCTTATTCCAGCTTAAGGAACCTTCCTCCAACTTGTGGCTTTTCCTCCAATGTAAGGCTCCTTCAGATGGAGGGCCACTTGTTGGAGAAAGGCTCCTTAACGGACTTAGAAGACTGTCATTCTGATTAGGATTGCACTGTAAGTGCTGTTGAGGGGAAAGGGGGAGAACAAAATAATTGACTGTCATTTGTTATTATTCTGGTGCACTTTCAGTTCCCACGTGTTTGAAAGTAGGTGGAACTTTGGGGTATTTTTCACTCATTTGGGAACGAATGCACAACACTACAGTAGACATGACAGAAGATCTCACCAATTTTGGAGGCAAGGGCCATATTTTTAAGGGCCAGTTAAGAAGAAGAAAAAGAAGAGAGAGGAAGAGATTGGATTTATACCCCGCCTTTCACTCCCTGAAGGAGTCTCAGAGTGGCTTACAATCCTTTTCCCTTCCCAGAACAGATACCCTGTGAGGTAGGTGGGGCTGAGAGAGCTTTCTTGAGGACTGCCCTTGAGAGAACAGCTCTGAAAAAAAAACTTATGACTGACCCAAGGTCACACCAGCAGCTGTATATGGAGGAGTGGGGAATCAAACCCGGTTCTCCCAGATTAGAGTCTGCACTCCTAATCACTACACCTAACTGGCTCTCTTATGTACATAAGGTACTTCCCTATGGCTTTGTCTCAAGCCACTGGCAGAAATTCTGGACTAGGTAAGCAAGGCTAAGTGTACAAATCCTTCCCCACCCGATCTTTTCCCTCCCTGTCAGCTGGGCATCAATCAGATGTGAAGGGTCAAGCCCATTTTCATAAATTACCTCACCAGCATGGGATGAAGCTATTTCAGCATCATATTACAGACCCCTAAGATATTGGAAATAGGAATAAAATCTTGTGCCTAGCAAAAACCATCATTAGTATTAGTTTGGTAGTAAACATTTTGGAATAAACAGCAAAAAGAAAATGAAGCAAACATTTGCTGCGTTTAATTTATACATGTTGCAGAATCAGATTAGCTAAGTGCCAAATTTTATTTATTTATTGTGCAGTGAAGAGTACAAACAGCTTGCTCGGTGATGGGACGAAGTCTGAATGCAGCATAGGATATACACATTAAGTTAGCTTTAAGGATGTGTTTAAATCCATGTAACTTACTCGTATCAAGAATATATATATATATTTTTAACTGAGGGGCATAACAAGTTGTACTGTTTCAGTTTAGAGAGGTTAGCCTAATAACTGGATTTCCCAGGGCTTTTGGAGGGGAAGTGGAGAAGAAGGAATCTAAAATGTTATATACTTGAAATTATTGTGCAATGTTGCATGAACTTCTGTCTATCCATTTTTACCCACCCTCATCCAAGGAGCTCCCTGCACTCAAAACCACCCTGTGAGGTAGGTGAGGCAGAAAGAAAGAGAGTGACTAGCCCAAGGTCTCCCAGTGTGTTTCATGGCTAGCTGGGGACCTGAAGCCAGTTCACCAAGTTGAGGTCCTAGCCTGACCATCTAAGCAATACACCACACTGGTTCTCTAAATACTTGCTTTGTTCCCAAGAGATTTTAGCACTGTCAGCCTTGACTTCATGGATATTAAAGCCCAGTTATCTAAGAAACTGCAGGAAATGCTGCTCAGACTTACGTTCTGTAAATTGAACTGCAGCTGCTGCTTGTACGGCGCGAACTCCTGGGCCAGCTCGTAACCCTCATGGTAAAAAGTAAATAGTCCCTGTGAAAGGCCAAAAGCTGAAAGGGGGGGGGGGAGAAAAGAATGTGATGCCAAACCATGTATTCAAAATTCATATTCTAAGTATTACGTAACACGGAATACAAACAGAGACGTCTTGGAACAATGGAGGAAGGGGGAAAACCCTTTCCACGGAGCAAGAGATATGCTGCGGTTGATTTCAATGTGATAGTGGTGTCTGCGGTGATTAGGCAGCACTTTGTCCAGCTGCTTGTGATGTTAAGCAGAAGAAGAGCCTAGCCCCCTCCAGAAGCCACTGGTAGAGCTTCTATGATGCCATGGAGAGCGGAGACAGAACAGGGAACCTGCAAGAAGTGTGTGTGTGGTGGGTGGGGAGCTGAGACAGAACTAACTAGGAGCAGTGTTCCCTCTAAGCTGAATTAGTGTGAGCTAGCTCACAGTTTTTTTAGCCTCCAGCTCACAGATTTTTGTCTTAGCTCAGGAAGGATGGCTCCAGAGCAAACTAGTTTATACAGTAGCCAAATCACCTGCTCACAACTTTAATGGCAGTAGCTCACAAAGTAGGACTTTTGCTCAACGAACTCCATAGCTTAGAGGGAACATTGACTAGGAGACCTCAGAAAGGAAGGGGGTACAGAAGTCCATGAACACGTAAAGAAGAAGACGACGAGTTGGTTTTATACCCCGCTCTTCACTACCCGAAGGAGTCTCAGAGAGGCTTACAATCACCTTCCCTTCCTCTCCCCACAGCAGACACCCTGTGAGGTAGGTGGGGCTGAGAGAGCTGTGACTGACCCAAGGTCACCCAGCTGGCTTCACGTGGAGGAGTGGGGGACCAAACCAGGTTCTCCGGATTAGAGTCCGTGCTTGTAACCACTACACCACAAACTACCTCTGCCGTACACTGCATCAGACCTTTGGGTCCCTCAGGATCAGTACTGTCTAATTCAGACTAGCAGCAGTTCTCCAGAGTGTTAGGCTGAGGCCTTCCACACCAGCTATTACCTGATCCCTTTTCACTGGAAATGCCAGGGACTGAACCCGGGACCTTCTGAATACCAAGCAGGTGCTCGACCACTGAGCCACAACCCCCCCCCCCCATCCTACCTCTTCTCAACATGCCCCAGACAGAGTCCTGGAGAAGAAGGGGGAGGAAGCAAGCGTGTTAGATCTGGGCAGGGCTCTTTTTGTAGAAAAAGCCCAGCAGGAACTCATTAGCATAATAGGCCGCACCCAACAGCAGGAACTCATTAGCATATTGGGCCACACCCCTGACAGCACAGCTCATTAGCACGTTAGGCCGCACCCCCATGTTACCAGAAGTGTGGTCATCCAGCCACACCCACCTTTTGCTTGTTATTCTGGTTACCTTGTTTGTTGTCAAAACCCAGGGCCTTTTTTTGTAGCAGGAACTCCTTTGCATGTTAGGCCACACACCCCTAATGTAGCCAATCCTAATGAGTTCCTGCTGGGCGTGGCCAATTTAGGAGCCAGCCGGAACTCCGTTCCTGTGCGTTCCTGCCCAAAAATAGCCCTGGATCTGGGCTTCTTGAAGCACCTGAAATCTGTTGGGATGGTGGCAGCAGGCACCTGAGTGGCAGGAGGAACGGTCCCTCTGCCCCATATGATCCAGATTCTCAATGTATATTCCTGAATGTTTGCTCTTATTTGATGTCAGAGATCACTATGATGGAAAGCAAAATATCCCTGGCACTTTCCCCACTCAAATAATACAATAGGAAAGCGGAGAAAAAGCGAACAAAACGTCTATACACAGATCAAAGTATATTGGCCCGGCACAGATAGCAGGAGACATCCTGTGCTTTCTCCTTCATTTCTACATGGAGCAAACAGCTTGACAGTTTATCATTAGAAGAGTGAGCCTCATTTATCATTGGTCTGCACACTTGCTCAATATAGCCTCCTTGCTTCATGCATGGCCAATTAATTAATCACTGCCAGCACACAACTGGTTTGTACAACTGACTCACAATGATTTGTTCTGTGCTCGCCAAACAAGGATTCCAAACCACAGTTTAATTCATGGTTTTGGAGGTTAGAAAACAAGCCATAATTTGTGGTTTTGGTGAACTATAGTTTCGTGTGAATGTGGAAGTGGTTAATTAACAGACTGCACATGAGGAAAGGAGGAAAAGGGGAGCTGGTTATTGCTACAAGGGAATCAAGCTGCTGAGTCCCTCATTTCACTTTTTTGTTCTTTTTTTGGGGGGTCGAATTTTTATTCCCTTAGTTGTCCAGCTGATTTTCAGGAGGTTTGTGGGTTAAAAAGCAAACACCCACGACAGTCATAAGGATGTATAATAAAAACAGTAGAGGCATGAACTCCAAATTTGAATTTAAGGATGTGTTTGCAAATAGAACAGCCATATTGGCATAGTTCAAGGCAATCAAACAGTGGCACAGCAGATCATTTCTCTCTACATGCAGTGCTTTTTTTTTTTTAACCCAACCAAAGTGAGCCCCTGAGACCACTGGGCCCCAGTGGCTGGGGCTAGAGGCAGGGGCATGGCTTATGTTCATCACAAGAAGGGAGGGCAGGAAGGGCTGCATCAGTGCTTAGTTCTCCCGGCCCTTTCTTTCATGTCCAGGAAAATGGATCACCACTTTGGGGTCAGGAAGCAATATTTCTCCAAACCAGTTTGGCCGGGGGATCCCAGAGAGGTGTTCCCCCGCCCTTCTCTTCTGGGTCATTAGGGTGTGTGTGTGTGGGGGGTATATGTGAATTCTCTGCATTGTGCAGGGGGTTGGACTAGATGACCCTGGAGGTACCTTCCAACTCTATGTTTCTATGATCATTGCTTCCTGGACCTATGCAGCAGCAAACCAAGTCCAGGGTGAGACCCTGATGATTTTGGCAGCACCCTGGGACTCTGTTCCCACCCACTGTGCCTGGCCAAGCATAACCCTAATCCATTTCCTCCCTTGGTTTTGATACCAACAGTTTCACAGGTAGGTGTTAAGGTTTTGTTTTTCTCCCCTCCTGGCACTCGGAATCAGAAAGGCTGCCTCGTCCTCCTGCTACAGTCCGCAAACTTTGGAATCTAAAATCAAAGCTGGCCATTTCCTCACCAAATTAAACCACTTAATGTAGACCCAAACTATTTGCTTTTTTTGGACAGAGATAAAAGCTGGTAAAACAGTATTAATGCACTGAACTGCAAACTGGAAAGTCTCAGACTTGAATCTCAGCTCTGCGGTGAGTTCACAAGGATGCATTTGGTAACCCCTTCTTTCACAGATTTAACACTCCAACAAGGGGACTGATAATACCAACCTATATAAAAGGCCAAATATTATTATTGTAATATTCACTGTGACATTTATTTTTTTTATCAAATATGGCTCATGTGTGTAGTTTTGTATGATGGCAATTATTCAAAAATCTAGACGGCCCAGATATTTCGTTTATTCCCAGCTTCCTCAAACCTTTTTTTAATAAACTGCACTGATCCAGAAAATCCTTCAGCCCTGGTAATAAGTGTTCGTTTTCATTCTGATATTGATAGATTAAAAAAAATTTTTTTTAGTGATCTAAAACTTTTTGCTGCCTATTTTCTTTCTATTCTTCATGCACCCCAGTTTACTATTAACAATGCACACCTCCAAAACACAAAAAAACCCTTTGTTTAATTAGGCTTCAGATCATGATTTCTCAAAAGAAAACGGATAAATGCAGTCACACTATAATGAAACCCTATGAACTGAGAACATGAGCACTCCATTTTTAGTGCACAGTTTTCATTTTGAATCTCCTTCTTTAACCCAGTGCCAAAGGAAAAGAGTAACCAGCACTAGATGGCAGCAACACCAAGCTTATAAACCTGTCTGTATTGGACTCAGGAATTTTTTTTAGCTGGAGGATTTTAAGAGCAAGCACAATTTCTAACATAAAGTCCGAGGTACAGTATTCGAAGATACAGGCTGTTGTCTACAGTACGCTCACCCCACACAGAGTGCTACTCAGTTCCCAGCCACGATTAACACTGCAGATCAAACTCCATGTTGAAAGTTCTCCGAGAGACCTGTCAGATACAGTGTCCTCCAAGCAATTTCGCACTAAAATCGAATTCAACCTTCTTTTTAATCCCATTTTCTTCCTGTTCTGCACTAAAACCAAATTCAACCTTCTTTTTATCCTTCAGTGGTCGGCCCTGTATCAGCCTACTGTTGCCCTGGGTTTTTTGGATGCTGTTTTGCTATTGCTTGACTCGAACACTGAGAAAATCCGGAGTGGCAGGCAAATGCAGAAAGGCCCATTGTATGGGGGAGAAGTTGTAAAGGGGGGGGGCGGATTCTTCCACAAAACATTCAGCACCAGGAGCTTGGAGGCTCTCAGGACAGACAACGGTAGCCGCCATGTTTATTTGCGACGGTGCACCATTCACATTATGAAGAGCTGAGTTCTCATCAAACGAGGTGTGCAAGTGAGGTGAAATACCCCGCTCCTCTTCCTTTCAGCAATATCTCATCTCCAGCACTCTTCTCACAGCCTGACACATTTCTGGCATATGAGAGGGGGATGGGGAGAAATGGACTGTAGCAAGGTAAGGCAGGAAAAGGGAGAGTTCAGAATCCTTTCACCTCCCGTGACTCTGTTTATATTAAACTAGACACATTCCATCCACTCCCACTGCCGGCTTTATACATTAGCAATACAAACATGTCCCTCTTTGGGTCCGCTTTGCATGAAAGAGGTAGAGGCCGTTTTGTTTTTGTTTTGCCATCAGGTCACAGCTGACTTTTGGTGACCCTGCGGGGGTTTTCGAGGCAAGAGACGTTCAGAGGTCGCTTGCCATTGGCCTGCCTCTGTGTGGTGACTCTGGATGTCCCTGGTGGTCTCCCATGCAAATACTAACCAGGGCCGATCCAGATTAGCTTCTGCGATCAGGCTAGCCTGGGCTAGCTAAGTCAGGGTAGAGTGTCCAAACTGAAAAATCTCCCATGCTGCCCCTGGCCTTTCTGAGCAGCACTGAGGGGACAAGGAATCCCTTTTGTTGTTTGTGTTCCCTGGCAAACGCCCACCCTCTAGAGCCCGCTTTGTCCTCCAATGGATTCCTCAGGCAACAGCAGAGAGGGGCGGAGAGACGAGGGTTCAGTGCTATATTATTCCCAGTCACAACCGAGAGCCAAATTAGGTGTTAGGTGCAGAGATGCGTAACATTATCTCGACAGATCCATTCGTTCATTCAAAATATCTATATCCCTGCCTTTCCTCAGGCTTGAGGCATTTTTTTTTTTTACAAACAGGAAATGATCCATTACTGGATCAACAGGGTAAAGAGAAGCAGCAAGAGAGCTCGCCCTTTCCCTGCCACTCCAAACAGACTCTGCCCCCTAAGGCGTTTTGTTCCTCAAGAAATTCCAAAGGCATGTCTGAGGGGGTAAACATGCATGTAGAATTCTACAAGGAGAAAAGCAAGCACGCACAAATGTGCAAGATACAAAATATATTACATAGGACAGGAAAATGGTGGGCAGGGGGAAATTTAAGGAACACTTATCCTGTGGGCTTGTTGTTGTTTTTTTGCTTTCTGGAAGCAGCTTTTCCTGTTAATAAAGGCCAGGATAATATCTGTAGGTAACTTCAAGACTGGGTCAGAGAAGGCCTTGACTGGTGACTAGGTTTTTAATGCAGTCTTTAATCTATGATCAAATTAACAAATGGTGTGTTTTCACAGGTAGATTAATGCCCTTCGCTTCCTGCAGCACTTCTACTATATACATTCATGAACACATGAAACAGCCTTGTACTAAGTTTGCCAGGCATGCCCTAGCAACCAGTGGGAGTTGGGGGGCACCCATCAGCAATAGTGTGATACCACTTCCAGGAGAGACATGGAAATGATGTCACATCACTCTAGGAATCACCAGAAACTCTATGGTAAAACCATGGAGTTTTCAGCAATTCCTAGAATGGACTGACGTCACTTCTGAGTTTCCCCCCAGAAGGGACAAATGTAGCAGGAAACAGGAGCTGGGGGATCCTCTATCCCTGGTGGGGGCCCTGTAACCCTGCCTTCTACTGAATCAGACTCTTGGTCTATCAAGGCCAGTATTGTCACATCATGTACTAGCTGATGTTTTTAACTGGAAAAACCAGGGATTGAATGCATGCACAGCATTGAACCACGCCCCCTCTCTATATGCTAAAAAAACAATGCTGGTAACTGTGTAGTGCATCCAAATACAGTGCAGTGTAGTAGTTAAAGTGCCGAGGAGATCCGTGTTCAGTCATGGATCAGGCTAACTACATCCCACGGCTGTTGTGTGGATAGACTGTAGAGCCACATATGCTACCCTGAGCCCAATGGTGGGATAAAAATGTAATAAATAAATGACCGCTACTTCCTTTTCTGAAAGGGCTCCTGTGCTTTTAAACTATGCATGGCAGGCAGAGATTCAAGGGGTGCAATTGGTCAGTGCCTGGAAAATGCTGTATCTGTTGAGTATCTCCCCATGCAGCTGTTAAAAGAAGAGGCATGCTGCAGAAAAGAGCGTAGGAACATTATCTGCGCAAAAGCCTTCCTACCGTCAGCTCTGCTTACTGTAAAAGGCTGGCCCGTTTGATTAATGTAGGTCAGCTTTCTCCCCTCCCCTCTTATTTTCCAAATTGCTAACAAAATTAATTTAGGACTGGATATCTATTTTGTGCTCTCTGTAAATTACAAAGCAAAAGAAACAACAACACCCAGCCAGGAAGACAGTAACTTCTTGGCTGATGGATTGAAGGCCAGAGGTCAAATTCCTACCCTATCCAAAATGGAAGTGCGATCTTCTTCCTGTGAGAATGAGATGACCAAACGATCTCAGGGTCACCAGCACTACATAAAAATAAATAAAGACTCTTCCAGGCTTCAGATGCCGCCTTGTTTCTTTCTGGAATCCTTGCAGGCCAGCTGCTAACACGCCCATGTCTGTGTTAAATTAGTAGAAGCTTTGGTTTACTGAACCAGTTGATTTAGGTATTCGGAGCAAGACAAATGCATGACTCTGGGTACATCTGAAAATTGTTAGCACACATTAGGGGAGTGCATGAGAAATTTGGGAGCGAAATACTCAAGTCTCCTTATCCTCCAGCCACAATCTGTGCTTATTCGCGCATGCGTGATGTCTGCCATTTACGCGAGGATGACACAAATGTAAGTGGCAGTGCCTGATTTCACTGTTCCCAGTTTGTCGCCATATTTACAGGAGAGGCCTTGGCTCAGGCAACAGGGCCCCTACTTTGTGTGTAGGAGATCAATCCTAGGATCTCTACTTAAAAGCATCGGGCAGTAGGGGATGAGAAAGACTGAGACCCTGGACAGCCACTGAGTAGTCTGAGTAGTCAATACTGACCTTGGCAAAGGACCAATGGCCTGATTCAGTGTAAGGCCACTTTATGTGTTCATGTGTTCTTGGAACTTTTTGCTTTGAATTGAATTCCCAAGCATGTGAGGGTCTGATTCTGACTGTAGCCAGGGCTATTTCTGGGCAGGAACGCACAGGAACGGAGTTCCGGCTGGCTCCCAAGTTGCCCACGCCCAGCAGGAACTCATTAGCATAATAGGCCACACCCAACAGCAGAAACTTATTAGCATTGGCTACATTAGGGGTGTGTGGCCTAACATGCAAAGGAGTTCCTGCTACAAAAAAAGTCCTGGGTTTTGACAACAAACAAGGTAACCAGAATAAGGAGCAAAAGGTGGGTGTGGCTGGATAACCACACTTCTGGTAATGTGGGGGTGCGTCCTAATGGGCTAATGAGCTGTGCTGGCAGGGTTGTGGCCTAATATGCTAACGAGTTTCTGCTGTTGGGTGTGGCCTATTATGCTAATGAGTTCCTGCTGGGCTTTTTCTACAAAAAGAGCCCTGGCTGTAGCCATAAGGCTGTCAAATTTGGGTTAGGAAATTCCTGGAGATTTGGGGTTGGAGCTTGTGGAAGGAGGGGTTTGAGGACAAGAAGAACCTCAGCTGGGTGTAATGCCACAGAGTCCACCCTCCAAAGCAGCCATTTTCTCTAGGAGAACTGCTCTCAGTGGTCTGGAGAGCCACTGTAACTCCATATCTCTGGGCCCCACCTGGAGTTTGGCAGCACTACATTAAGGCATGCAGGGAAAGGGGCCTTAAGACTAACTCCCCAAATCACCTCCCAGCCTGAAACTGCTCAAGGAAGCTGCTATGTGGACTCACACATGTCCCAAATGCATCAAAACTGACTCTCTGGGACTGTCTTAGATTGTGAAAACTGCATGGGGAAATGGTGCGGAGGCTTCAGTCCCCCCTACCCCGCATGCCATACTCCCAGTCTGAATCAGGACCATTCAGCCCTGGCAATTAATTCTTGGGGGCAGAAATCCCAGGATCCAAGGGACAGATCAGGGAACAGTTTGTCATGTAGTTAGGCCCCTCAGGTAAAAGGCTGCAGAACACATTTATACTATCAGCTCCACTGGGGTACTCTTCAGTAGCATCATCCACACGTGTAGAGGAGAGTAACTGAGAAGTTTGTTAATCTCCTGCTGTTGTTGTTAGGAAAAACAAAACTTCATTAGCAAAGGAATTTTATCTGTAGCCATCGACCTCACGGTAATGCTGCCACTGCTCCATGATATTACAGCTGCCCACATAGTGAAGCCTTAAGCAGGAGAAAGGCTGACTGTTGGAGCTTAAACCAAGTCCCAGATTCAATCCCTGAACCTCCTCCTCAAAGGAACCCCAGTGAGCAAGACTACCCTGAGGCCTCGGAGGGTGGGTGAGGGACACAGTAGCATCATGTGCTGGGGAAGATAGACTAAAATCTAGACTTTATCAGGTAGCTTCATCCGCTCAGTCCTTATTGAATTAATGTTGGATTAATTATCCATACCAAATATCCCCTCCTTAGTGTATTCCTGTTTATTTGTTATGAATGTTTCGCAAATTTGTCCAATGAAAGCTATTCCTCCTAATGGATAGATCACTTGTGCCTGAATTCTGTTTTAGCACCCAGCTTTCCTATGTCAGGATCAGAACTAGTTACGGTTGCTTCATTTTCCCAGGAAATATTAGCTTTGTGGCAGCAGCTGATACAATGACAGGAACTGGATTATTTTATGTCATACACCCAAATGTTCCTTTTGAGGATTCCAAGGAAAATCTGAGCACCTTTTTTGGGGGGTGGTATAAATAATACGAAGAGGAGAACAGCACACAGATTAGAGGCCAAGGTGTCTCTATTTTCTGGAAAGAGCTGAAAATTATCCACAAGTTTCTTCTTGCATAGAGCACTGTAGCTTCTGCCAAGATGTCCAGGTGATAGCAGAATTTCTTCATGGAAATGTGACGTGGAGTTGAACTAGGGCAGGAGTGAGCAAGTTTATGAGCCTCTTGTTGGCAAAGATTGCAACTCAAAGCTCACTGCAGGCAGAGGCCTAGCCTTCACTTAAGAGCGTGCGTTCTTCATGATTTCTATGATTACACCGCAAAGAGCTTGCAAGGTGCAAAAGAAGACTGCAGCCCAATCTCAGCCATGGATATTTTGAAGTAAACCCCACTGGTTTCAACAGGATTGATTCCCATGTAAGCATAGCAGTGCACCACCAAGACAACAGGTGAAAGGCATGCTTTGCTCACGTCTGCCTTAATAGATCTGTATTGTCTGAAGCTTTCCCACTCACGCTTTCTCTTACTGCTTTAATAAAAGATCAGGTTGATCGAAACTTGAAGACTAGTGCCTCGGTTAGGAACTCTGAGCCAATTTTTACGTTATGAAATACTCGTCATGTCGCTGCGCAGACAACACTGTTCAGCACCAGTCGTTAAAGTGTCATGCAGATAGATGGCAAGACGTCTGCAATTTCATTCCAGGTTGGACCAGAAACCTGTTTTTCGTGAGTGTTTAAAGGAGCAGAGATGATTCTCGAAACCAGGGCTTCATAGCTTGGAATATTAAATTTCCTTCTTTAATTAACCAACGTGCTCCTCTGTAAATGCTCTCATTGTCGATTGGAGGCAGTGGTTTTCAAACTGTGTTCACAGGAACTGTGGAGTTTCTCAAATTCCAGAGGGGTAGTCATGCTAGTTTAGTTTAAGCAAAAACAAAAAGGAAATGTTGTGGTACTAACAGATTTATTGCAGCAGAGCTATAAAGCCAAATACTAGGCCCTGCAACAAGCCAGGATGCCAGTGACGTTCCCATATGCAGGCAACACTCTTATAAAGCCTAAAACCACCAGCCATACCATCAGGAAACCATTCACTTATTGATCTTCCAGCATGATGTATTTCATCGACTGCCAACAAAATCCTTCTGCTCTCTACATAAGGACAAGCTGGTCAAGTTTTCACAGAAAAGATAAATTCACTTTTGAGAAACTAATGGGAAAATTTGTAGGCATGGCACTCTGCTGGTGACCGGGAAGTTACCATTATGCAACCAAAGGATAGAAGGGGGAAATGTCCCTCAGCAGCAGCTTTTCACAATTCAGATATTAAACCAGACGATGGCTAGGAAACCTGAACTATAATTTGGCATGATGTCCAAACTGATGGCCTATTTCAGTCAAACAGCAAAGAAAAACCATAAATTGTAAGGGTTTTTTAAAAAAAGCTTTTCAGAAATGTTAAAGATACAGAAAAGAAAAATGCCAAAAAAATCCCCCACAACATTACATTTTTAAAGTATAAAAAGAACTTTCGGTGACATCACATTAAAAGCTGTGAAATATACACATAAAATATATGTAAAAATTAAGATTTCAACATTTATAAAAACAGAAGAAAAAAGGAAACAAATATAGCATAAAAGATATTAAATAATACAACATTCAACTAAAATATAAAGCATATTTTTGACCACCTAAATTTTGCATGTTAATTCTAATCACTACAATGACACCAATATTTATTGAAGAGCCCAATAGTTCTATAAAACTTAATAATAAAGAGTAATAGCTTAAAGATATATAAAATACTAATTACCTAATTGGCTAACTATGTAATAATAATTATAATTGAGATAATAATATTAACCATTTAATCAGTAAACCAATTTAACTATCATACTATTGCAAGTGAACGTACAAACCGGTATTTCTCCTCTCTTCCCTTTTATTTGTAATAAGCATAAATAGCTTTCCATTTCTGCTCAAATTCCTTTCTCAGTTTTTTATTTATATAGTTAATCAATCTTGCCTAACAGTGTATTCATTCATTTTATCCTTCCAATTCTCGAGGTTTGGGCTGTCTTGTAGTTTCCATTTGGTTGCCAGTTATACTCATGCTGCAATTAGCATATATCCAAATAGTTCCTGTATAGTTTTTTCAGTATTGTCTGGTAGGAGTCCCAATAACATAGTCTCTGGTTTGATGGCAAATTTAATATTCAAAATTTTCTGGATTTCGGCATGCATTTATTTTCAAATTTTTATCTTTTTTTACATGTCCACTACATGTGATAAAAAGTGCCATCCACTACCTTATATTTCCAGCACACCCCTTTATAATTCTTGTCCATCTTCTCAATATCTTTCGGGGTGATGTACCATCAAAAAAAACATGTTATACCAATTTTCTCTTAATGTCTGACTTGCAGTGGACTTTATATCTTTCATCCATAAATTTTCCCATGTTTGAAATGATATTTCTCGAAAATTCTACATCAATTTCATCATACACATCTTAACTTGTTTCTCTTCTGCGTCACACTGAAATAAAAGTTTATAAATTTGTCCTAATAGATTATCTTTATTTTGCATAATTATCTTTTCAAATTCAGTTAAATCTCTCATTCCACCTCCTTCTGGGCATATAGCTTCTCTGAGTCTAGAGATTAACTGAAGATATGTTAACCACTGTATCTTTCGTCTTTCTTCTTTAATTGTTTGTCAAGACTTAAATTCTCCTTGCAGACTTAGCATTTCTCAGTATGTTATAAAGTCGTTCTTTTCTCTCACATATTTATCATAGTATGCATCTATTGGTGACATTACAGATGAGATTGATGAGCTAATTTTCATTTTCAAAGTCTCCCAGATTTTAAGTAAACTGTCTCTGATTACATGGGTTTCATGTTGAGTTGTGTTTTTAATGCCTTTTTTTCTAATCCAGAGAAAGTTGTGTATGCTGTCAGCCAAATCTTCAATTTCCAATTTCATCAATCTTTCATTTGGATCTTTAATCCAATTTGTAATCCAAACCAGGCTAGTTGCCTGGTGCCGCTAGGCCTCCTCTTTTCTTGTCATCCTGTAATACTTTAAATCTGATTCATGGTTTTTTGCCATTCCATATAAATGCATTTATTTGTTTCTGCCACTCTTTCAATGTCTTGTCTTGAATGATGATTGGTAACATCTGGAATAACAAATTTACTTTTGGCTACACATTTATTGTTAGTGTACTGATTCTTCCCAACCATGACACTATTAACGTGGACCATCTTCCCAGATCTTTCTGTATTTTCTTCTATACTACTTCATAATTGTCTTTATACCCAGATTATACCCAGATATTTAACTGGATTACTTGCTGAGTCACACCCTGTAATTGTCCTAATATTATCTTCTTCTAATTTAGTTAAGAATTTAGTTAGGAATTTTCTCCTATTAATTTTAAATCAGGAAAAGGAGCCAAATTTCTCAATTTAAGTTATATGTTGTACTGTATTATGTGGGTTCAGAATTGTCAAAACTACATTGTCCACATAGCTTTTTAACTCAAATTCTTCTCCATCTACTTTCAGCCCTTCAATATTTGGATCTTGTAGTATTCTGGAAGCAAAAATTTCCATTGCCACAATGAATAAGAGTTGTTTTGTTCCTTTTTCGATCTGAAATCCATCTGCTAATGTTTCATTAATTAGAATTTTTGCATTTTGTTTCATACAGATTCCTTGTATCCAATTCATAAATTGGAGGATGGGGTATAAATGAAATAAATAAATAAATTGGGATATCAAATAAATAAATAAATAAATCTAGGACCACAATTTATGTGCTGTAGGACTTTTTGCAAAAAAAGTCTAAGAAAGATTATCAAAAGCTTTCTCAGCATCCAAAAAAAAAAGTGTTTTTTCTCCCTTTTCTTATACAGACTCCAGAGCATCAGTGACAAAACAAATGTTTTCATAAATTTCTTTGGGACAAAACCCATCTGATCACGATGAATTATTTTTGTTATACATTTCTTTAATCTTTTTGCCATTACTGAAGCAAAGAGTTTATAATGCACATTCAACAATGATATAGGTCTATATGACTGTCCAATGTTTCCTCTAAGCTCTACAGTGTTGTGAGCAAAAATTCTACCTTGTGAGTGAAAAAATTAGTAGCATTAAAGTTGTGAGTGAGTCTACATTTGATTATTGCATAATTATTTTTAGAAGATTATTTCTATAACCTTGTAAAAATCTCAGAATGAATTCTTTTAAACTATATTTAAATTATATTTTAAGAATAATTGAAACATTATAAGAGAAACCAGAATCAAGTCAAATTTCATTACAAAAAATGTTGTCCTCTACAGGAGTAGATCAGGCCTCTAGAGAACAGGTCTCCCTGCCCCAGTACACTATATTGGTAGACCTGGCCTCCAGAGAACAGGTCTGCCCATCCCTTTCCACTATACAGGTAGACCTGGCCTCAGGAGGTCTACCCACCCCAGTCCACTATACTGGTAGACCTGGCCTCAGGAGAACAGGTCTACCTGTCCTTTTCCACTGTATTGGTAGACCTAGCCGCCAGACAACAGGTCTACCTGCCCCAGTCCACTATATTAGTAGACCTGGTCTTGGACTGTCGTCTTGGCTGACCCTTAGAAAACATACCAACACTTAGGGGAGAAAAAACTCTTGCAGTTTATATTGATTGGTTTTTTTTAAGTGAAATATGCCAACCAGCATTACAGGTCAAGTATAACAGAACAGTCACCGTCAGAACCCTGCCTAACCTACCAGGAAGTTGCTTAAATGCTTTCAACCTGCCCAAACTACTTGTTTATTCAAATATTTATATCCCACTTTTCCCTGTGACTCAAAACAGCTTACAAATCATACTGAAAAGCATAAGAGGGATGAGTTTCAGAGAGATTGCACCAGGGAGTCCAATTCTATGGGTCCCAGAAGGAGGTGCCCCCCATCCTTCATTGTTTGCTATGGAAGGGAAAAAATGTTGTGAGTTGAAGCTAAAATGCTCTGAGCAGTCCTCTGAAATGTGCACAGCACCCCCTAGTACAGCTGTGGTGGAACTGTGGTGGTAACATTGGATTGTTATCTTCGTTATGGATAAGTTATATATGCCTCCTGCCAAGACTGAGGCAGTATTTTCTCTTCACTTATTTGATGAATCACTTTTTGTAATGGCTTTATCAACTCCTCCTCAAAACATTTATAATATATTGCCGTTAGTCCATCCGGGTCTGGTGCTTTATCTTTTTTTCAATTTTTTTTTATGGCTTGAGAGATCTCTTGTATAGTGATATTTTGGTTCAAAATATGTCTATCTTCTGTTGTTAATTCTGGAATAAGTGTGCCTTCCTCTGTTAACTTTTCTTTCTTGTAGAGCTGTGTGAAAAACAGACTAACTTGTTCATGTATATCCTTCTCCTTGTACGGGATTTCATCTGTCTTTTAAACTCATGATCGTTCTTCTTTCACTATCTTTTCTTAAACAATGAGCCAAGTAGCGTCCAGGTTTATTTGCATGTTCAAAATATTTTTGTTTTATAAATTCTTCTTCTGCGATCCTTTAGTTTTGAGCACATTTAATTGATTTTTTAATTTTTTAATTTCTTTTAAAGCTGTTTTTTTTAAAAAAATGGTGTCGATCTTTCAATACTTGAATTCGATCAGTTATTTTCATAATTTGTTCTAATTTTTCTTTCTTTTTCTTGGAGGCAATGGCTATAAGTCTTCCTCTCATATAAGATTTACTTGTTTCCCAAATTGTTGCAATAGATGCATCTTCTGTTGTGTTCAGTTTAAAGAATTCTTGGCTGCGGTCACACAGAGCATTAGGCACACTGGAGAGACGGAAGATAGCCTGATTTTCCGGGCGCGATCTCACCGCCACATCTGGGAAGCGTAGAGCTCCCGTGGCTCACCCGAGGCTTCACTCCGAAGATGCGTGGTAAAAAACTAGTACCTCTGAGGTACTAGTTTCCAGAAACAGCGGGGCAAGGGCGGACGCTTGATCGCGTTTCCGGTGGAATCCCATGGCATCCGGCACCCGCCCATGTCCCCACGCAAAAAGGTTTTTTGTTTTTCAAGTGTCCTCGGGATGTGCACAAGCACCCAACGGGGCATGTGCACACGTCGGTGTACAGAAAAAAAAACCACCCGTTTGCCGCGCCGCTTCTTTGCCGCGCCGCAGGATTGTGGTGTGATCGGCACCTCCCCCCTACCATGGGACCTCCACGGGATGTCTGCTCGCACAACCGTGCGTTATTTTGCCATGGGGCAAACAGCCACAATCCTCCCCGCATTTTCCTGCCCGTGTGACCGCAGCCCTTCTATATCTTTTTTACACTGATATTTGGATCATTTCTTTTAACCTATTTTATCTTTTACTAATGTGTACACCAGTTCCAGCGCCACCTTGCTCAACCCTAGTGCAGGGGAGAAAGGGGCAGTCATATTCTGGTGGGAAGACAGTGTGTCCCTCCTCTGGCACTCACTGCCATCTTGTCCCTTACCTGCTCACTCGCAGAGGAAGAGGATAATGATTTGGGAAGGGCTCCATGTCCTGATATAGGGTCTTGGGAGCTCTGCAGGGCACATAATACCTCCTGCAGCCCAGAGGATGAAAGATCCCACTGACAGCTCCATTGCCCAGCTTCCTCTGCTGTTTCCATGCAGCTGCAAATCCCCTGGGCTCTCCTGAGCCAAAGCTCATGGCTTTGCAAGATAGGGGAGATTGTTCAATCAAGATGCTGGACTTCAAAGAGAGCTCTGAAAAGCACTCAAAGAACTCTCTCCAAACTCTGTCTTCTCCATAGGCAGGAAGAGAAGACTGAAGGGGAGATGGGGGAACTCCTCCCCTCCCGAAGAATAAAGCTGGATTTCCTGCCACCAAAAGTGGAATGAAGGGAGTTCCCAATACATCTGGGTTTCCTAGTCCTTCCAAGGGAGAATCGAGAATGCACTGCAAATTAAAATCCACAATCCTTTGCAATGTTCAGGGGTTCTGTGACTAGTCCTCCTCGGAAAGGGATCCTCCATGGTGAGAACTACGAACCCCTGATCTAAAAGAATGAACAGTAACAATATAACATAACTTACCGGTTCTACGAACTCAAACTTTTTTCTCTCTTGAACTTCTTGGATTTTAAAGACATATTCTAAAGATGCTTCATAAAAATTTTGATGTTCTCGGTCGATCTGGGTGTCTGCCTAAAGAATGAAAATACCAAAAATTACAGTAAAGCATATGCCATCACTAATATTATTTCACTGCTGTGGCTACATCAGTTCAGGCTTCCACTACACAGAAACACACACACACACAATTGCTTGTTACTGGTTTGGATCCACCCCTTCCATGAATAGAACAAGTTAGTGGAAGGGATCTTTGAGTTCGCTTTCCCATCACAGAACCCCAGGAGTGACTTTTTGGGAGGTGAAAGGGCTGTAATGGAAGGGAGAAGGCACCAAAAATCCTTTCCCCCAATATCTTCCTTTCAGAGAATGGCTGGACCTAATTTGGAGACTCCAATGTTTTTTTCCTGCCCTTCCTCCACAGAGCTCAGTACACCATACATCAGGTCTCCTCTTTTCTGTTTTATCCTCCAAACCATTCCTGAAGGACCACCTTCTCTCGTATGAACCAAATCAGCTAATCCAGTCATCTGCTTCGGGTGCCCTTGCCCTCTACTAGATGGGTGGCTACCCAAGAAACATCTTTCTTGGTCATGGCACAAAACTTCGGAACTCCCACCTCTGGGAGAGTTGTCTCTCTCCCTCTGTGGAGATTTTTTGTTTGTTCTGTTGGAACCCTTATTGACCTTCCTCCCTGGATATGCTGTGTTTGTATGTTAATGGGGTTTTTAAAATTGAATTGTTTTTAATATTTTACATATACGTTATTTTAAATACTGTTTTAATGTTCTGCATGTTTTAACATTTTGATGACCACTGCCTTGGAAACCCAATTTGGGTGGGAAGGTGGCGCAGAAATATTTTAAATAAATAAAATAAACAAACATTGAATAAAACCAGTTCCCCATCAGAAATGGGACTTAGTTTAAATCACCGAACCTGTCCAACAGACTTGAGTGTGCCCATGACCAACATATGAGGCTTCTATCCTGAACTCAACAGCTTAACAACAGTTATAAGATTCTGAGGGCTGAGACCGAAGAAGAGTATTATAAACAGCAACTAGGAGGTCCAAACTGAGACAGGGGCACATAGGATGTACTTCAGGGGCAAGCTGGCCCAATTTTGAAGGGTAAATAAAACGTTCTTGAGCTCAGAGATGCTGTCTAAAAGGAAATATCAACTGTTAATTACCAGACATTGATCCCCCTGATTCTTGAAGACTAAGTAAACAACAGACTAAGTTAAAAAAATCAACAACAAAATAATTGAATCTGCCTAAAGTTATCCTCCTTCTCCGTCATCAAAAGGTTAAAACAAAACAAACAGGATTTTAGACCTGGGAAATAGTCAAGAAGCAACAAACAAGGAAGGTTTAGCCATTGTTTGTTTATATGCTGCCTCTCCAGGGACTCGCTTGAGGTGGCACACAACTAAAACAAAGAAGTAATATTGGTAAGAGTCCTCAAGCCACAAGCAGACCATAAAACAGCCTTAACAAGGAAAACAACCCATTAGTGAAATGCCTGGGTAAAAAGCCTTTTTTTTTTTTTAGTCTGGTTCCTGAAGGAAAGCAAGGTAGGTGCCAGGAGAGCCTCATGAGGGAGGGCATTCCAAAGGTGAGGTGCCACCACTGGAAAAGCCCCGTCTCTGGATGCTAGTCGCCTCACCTTTGTTGGCAGGGGGAACTGTATCAATGAGGGGTTTCATCTTTCACAACTGTTTTTACAGTCTGCTGCAAGCCCGAGGACTACTTCTGTCATTATGTTTTTACACTCTAGCTTGTTTTTGATAGGGTTTTTTTGTTCATTAATTTTCATAATGTTGTTTTAAAGATTTTATTACATCAATTTACTTTGAGGTTGCATATAAATTTCCAAAATAAAGAAAGTCGCTTGTTAGCTAGAGAAGCTGAAGAACTGGGGGTAGGTCGCTTCCCAGCTGAAAAACAGATTCCGATCTTAGGATTCAAAATGCAGTAGGGCATTCTTTAATAGGTGAACTCATGGGATGTTTCTACAAAATACTTTTTTTTCCTTAAGCAATTACACATCACAACACAAGAATGGCAGGAGCTGGGAGAAAGCAAGGAGGCTAACAGTAACACCCATCCGACATCATTAAAGCAAAGAGAGAGAGAGAGAGAGAGAGAGAGAGAGAGAGAGAGAGAGAGAGAGAGAGAGAGAGAGAGAGAAACTGCCTTTAACCAACAGAGGTAGCTAATTTGATTGAATGTGATCCTCTCTCTTGAAGGTCACAGAAAGTTACTTCTCTCAGCAGTAAAGAGAAATAGCTATGAAGACAGTTACAGCTTCCTGTATTTCTCTTTTTAAGAAGCATATAAAAGCACAAGTTAAGCTACGGCTGTATTCGTTAAATATAAACATAGAAGGAGAGGACTGCTCCATTTAAGCGCCTTCAGAATGAATTCTGCAGTCCTGACCAGGTGACAGCAAAGAGAAAACCTGGTCATAAACAACCTTACTAAGATGAAACCTGGCCATAATTCATGACGTCTGAAAAAGTCTTTGATCAGTATTTATGGATGTATCGTTTGTACTTCAGTACTGGGAATAAATACTTGAGAAGCCTCTGACAGCAACTCTGAAATACCAAAAAAACCAAAAAACAAACACACACCAAAAAACCCAGAGAAATCTTTATTCATTACCAGCTTTATATGCTCTGGGAAATTCTGCTCTATGAGCCTAGAAAGTAAAAATAAATCTCAAGGATTCTTTGGTCTAAAGCAGTAGAGCTGGGTCTGGGAGAGTGGATGCACTCTCTCTCTCTCTGTCTCTCTCTCTCTCTCTCTCTCACTCTGTGTGTGTGTGTGTGTGTGTGTAGGGGGGTGTTTGATGATTTTCAAGGGAGGGGTTGGTGAGTGGATGGCATTTTTAACCCTTTCCTTGCCTGTTACTTTCCACAGGCAACACTTCCTACTGTAATGTGGCAAACAGACTGGAGAAACAGAATAAACACGGATCTCAGCCAATCGCAGATACTTTTCTGCTGCTACTTCCACTCCCACCACCCGTGCAACATTTTGCTGCTATGTGTTGATGACCTAGATTCCCAGACCCACATCTGCCGCAGAATGTCTAGTCCAGTCCTGGAATCCTCCTATCAACTGTTGGGAGCGATGACGATTTTGTGTGTGTCTGTGTCCCCACAGATAACTTGTCTTTTTAAGTTCATGGCATGATGCAAAAATCTATAACACCAATAGTAAGATCAAAAAGCACAGAGGCAATGGTCCTGTCTCATTAGATGTACCGCCTTACACAAAACAGTGCAAACCATGTATATATCTTGCCATTTTCTTTTATAGAGAGTATTTTTGCATTTGCGTGTGTGTGTGTGCCCGGAAGTCATGGCAACCTCTGGTGACTGCTACTGGTATATGGACGATGTTCAGAGAAGTGGCTTGATAGCCTGCCTCTGCTTCCCGGCCCTGGTATTCCTTGGAGGTCACCCTTCCAAGTACTTGCCAGGGTCGGCCCTGCTTAGCTTCCAAGATCTGACAAGATCAGGCTTTCCTGGACTATCCAGGTCAGGTCAGGGCTTTCTTGCCCCTTTCTTATTATCTGTTTAAAGAGAGGCTGTCCAAACATGGCAGCAAAGAAAATAAAGCAGAAAGAATAATGGATGCATTGTTGTGTAGCGATCAGAGTGCTGGACTAGGATCTGGGAGAACCAGGTTCAAATCCCGCTTGGCCATGAACCAGGTTCAAATCCCGCTTGGCTGTGTGCTGAGAAAAAAAAATTGTTATAATTTTGGATCTGTGCTTCCGGGGCGGGGAGCCTTACAATTATGGCTTGTTTTCAATTAGGACATTACTGGTTTGGGATTCAAATCTGTGGCTCTGGAGTTTGGGACCACTATTTTCCATGAAGAATCTATACTGGGGGGTATGTGGCAGCTGCTGATACAGATCATGACGCCAAATTTGCACAGAACACAGTCCTCCCTGTAATCTAAAGACCCCCCCTGATTTTCAAGCAGATTGCACTACAGGGTTTGATTTTACAGACACCCCCCCCAAAAAAAATAGGTTCCCCTCTGTGCAGCTGCACTTCTCTCTACTGATTCCTAAAATGGCGGTCAAGCAGCAGCCTAGCAGGAGAGCTCCAGATGGCCATGTCATTTAAAAAAACAAAAATCCTGTCTGCTTTCCCCTAGTCTAACAGTAACTGACAATAAAAAAAAAATCTCAACTTTCCATCGGAAACTGTATTTGCCAACCTTCCCTGTTGTGGCCTGTTCATATCTTTTCACAAACTAAAAGAGGCTTCCTTTGCAAACCCCCAAATCCCTTTCTATCTGCCATTATGGGTATGTACTAAAATGAATGACAGGAATTTTTTCCCACTGAGAATAATGGAAGAGGCCTGAAGGGCCATTGGATATAATGGGAGCCAGGAATGTCAATTAACTTGCACAAGCTCTACTGAAATACCTTAGAAAACACAAAAGTTGCAATAAAATGTGGAATGGATCATAACAATTCTGTCCTGAGCCTGGAATGAAAGCATCCAGAGTGGAATGACAGTCCCAAGGCCCCAGGTAAAATACTCAAAGACTGGAATGACAATCCCTGGAGAAGAATGGTGAGGGCAGGGCAGAAACAGGGCATGTTTCTCATAATCCATTCCACATTTTCATTGCAACAATGGGCATTCCCCTAATTCATTTTACTACATGAGGAGGATGACCCAGCTGAGCTCTGAGCAGGAGCAGGAGACAGAGCTGCTAGAGGGGTGAGTGTTTTTTTACTTGCTTTCAGCTGAGGGGATTCAGCTGAGGATATTGTGTGGGAGGACTGTGCTTGGGCGTGTGTGAAAGCGCTTAGAGTTGTTGCAGAGTCCTGGCTGCTTGAGAGAGGGAGAGGAAAGGGCATTGTTTGACTGTGATTGACTGCAATTGAGAGGAAAAGGAAGGGGCATTGTTTTGCATGTGATTGAGTGCCTGGGTGCATTTGAATAGCTGCTGCCAGCACTCTGCTGGGGGAGGCCTCTATTTAAGGAAGCACCTTGGCAGAGGCACGAGCCTCTGGCACGAGCCGAAGGGTGAG